GGGCGTAAGCGTGTGGGGGGGGGGGGGGGGGGGGGGGGTTTGCCGGGGGCAAGGGAGGCTGGCTGGCCCACAGGAGCAGGAGGCATTGTCCATCTGGGGGTGGAAGAGGGGCTAAAAATAACCCAGTGCCAGTCAGGAAGGAAGAAAAGTGCAGCCTCAGAGCTGGGGCCAGTGGATGGGCTTTCTCAGGTCTGGGGCTCTACTGGAACTGTTCAGGAATTCAGGATCAGTCTAAAAATGGCCAACCCAATCTATATTAGTCTGCAGGGATGATGCGTAGGGGGTGCATGCGGGGGCACGTGCACCCCCTGCACATGGTGGTGCACCCCCTGCAAAAAGGTGCTGCCAACACTGTCAGCAGCGCCTGCGGGGCTCTTGCAGATTGCCACCCTGCCGCCAGTCTGTGGGCGGTTCATGATTGCCCCTGGCTGCTGCTGACGCTGCCAGTGGTTCCTGTGGGTGGTCGCTGACCCATGGTCAGTGCTCACCCCCCACCTCGCTGCCAACAGTGCCGGCGGCATCTGCGGGAGTTCCCTGCCACTGGGCTTCCACTGCCACCACCGCGCTCCCGCCACCACCAGTGCAGCCATGCCTCCACAGCCATCGGGAGCACGTGCCATTCATGTTAGTCTGCCTTGGGGATAGGGTTACTTATAGTTTCATAGTTTCATTGTTGGTAGGGTTGGAAGGGACCTGAGTAGATCATCAAGTCCGACCCCCTGCCATGGCAGGAAAAAGTACTGGAGTCAAATGACCCCAGCAAGGTGTTCGTCTAACTTCCTCTTAAAGACCCCTAGGGTACGAGCCAGCACCACTTTGCTTGGAAGCTGGTTTCAGATCCTAGCTGCCCTGACTGTGAAGTAGCGCCTCCTGATGTCTAGTCTGAATCTACCCTCTGCCAACTTGTGACCGTTATTTCTAGTCACTCCTGGTAGTGCTCGGGGGAACAGGGACTCCCCCAATGCCTGCTGGTCCCCTTTGATTAGTTTGTAACAGGCCACTAGATCCCCCCTCAGCCTTCTCTTGTGGAGGCTGAACAGGTTTAGGTCCTTTAGCCTCTCCTCATAGGGCCTGCCCTGCTGGCCCCTGATCATGCGAGTGGCGCTCCTCTGGACCCGCTCCAAGTTGTCCACATACCTCCTGAAGTGCAGACCTGGTCAGCCATTTTTTGACTGATATAGCTGTCCTGAACTTCTGTACAGTTCGCACTTAGATGTACCTAACAGTGCAAGGTCTGCATCTGGGTGCACTTGTGAGGATCCAAAGGATACTCACCTGGAACTCATCCCCAACCAGGGGCACGGACCTCACAGGATCAGGGCATCCACGCTGCGGTGGGAGCACCCCATCCGCCCCTGCCCAGCTTTACCACCTCGGCAGGTGAAGCGGATTGGTGCAAATCCCCAACCAGGGCAATATCCGGGGACTGGGAACAGAGCCAGGGGAACAGAGAAGAAGAAGGTGGAGGAAGAGGAAAAGGAAGCCTGGGAGCCAGAGACACGAGGAGAATGCTCTGAGGGCAGGGTAAGCATCTGGTCGGGCTCTGAAGAGGCAGTGACACCCTTGCTGTGGGAGTGAAGAGGAGGGTGGAAGGAGGAAGATAAGGACAGGAAAGACCCAGGAGAAGACGGAGAGGCAGATGCTCCCGAGCTGTCAGCTCCTTTTTTTTTTTTCTTTTCTTTTTTTCGCTCTTCCATTTGTTTGAAACCGCGGACCAGTTGCCACGGGATGCAAAGTAAGCTGGAGGTGGCAGCAGCGAGAATACTCTGACCAAGAGCAGGAGCTTCCCGAATGGAGGGAAGAGGATCGGGTTCCCTGAGTGGCTCCACGGCCGGATCCAGGAGCGGGGAAGCCAAGACAGGCCGGGAAAAGAAGGACAGGGAAGACCATCCCTCTTGCTGTTTACTTTCATTAGGGATTCCCTCCTCATTAAGCAGTCACTCGCCCTCAGTTAAACCAAGTGCTGCCGCAATTAGCAAGGAAGCACAGGGAAAGCCTGGAGCAGAGGGGAAACCACCAATGAGCCTCGAGGGGGTGCCTAGAACCCCAGTTACCCTGGACCAAACTTCTACAGCTTTCTAAAAGGAGAAAAAAAATATAAAATAAAAAAGGAAAGAAAGGAATTGCTTCGGACTGCTCATTTAGTCATCCCTTTTCCGGAGGCTTCAGGAACTGGGGCGAAACCCGGTGGTCGGTCCAGGTGGAGGCGGGTAGTCACCACCTCCCTTTCATTAACATCTCTTTATCATCAAAGTTGTAGGAGGTGGGAAGGAAGAGCATAGGACCCCACCTAGACTGACCAAAAGGGTTGCAGCCACCCTGAGGGGACCAGTGGATGTCAGCAGGACATAGAGGCACACGCCCGTACCCAGTGACTACCCGACAGTACTAAATTAAATTGGGTGGCCATTTTTAACACAATCTAACCTCCCTGAATGTTTGTACCTAGCCTGTGTGGTTTTAACCCCTCCCCCAAGTAATTATGGACATTCTTAAAACTTCTGAAGCTTAGCTTTGTCCTTTAATCTGCATCTTCTGGAGGGATATGTGGAGAATAAGCCTGATCTTTGAAACTTTCTCTGGATCCAAAACTTGCCTGTCAGAAATAAACTCTGTTATAACTTCACTGAGAAACCTTAGAAGCATTTAAACTTTGTATTGACTTAAAATGGTATTCTAAACCAGTGGGAGCCAATCTTTTTGGCAGGTGTGCCACAAGCTAAGCCCTGCATTCTCCCTGAGTGCCACTCCAATCCTTTTTCCCTGTCTAATCTTCCCTGCTTTCTGCTCCCTGCCCTGTGCTCCCTGACTTATCTGCTGCTCCGCTTTCTGCTTGCTACTGTATCTGCACTGTTCTCCCTGCTCCTTTCCCCATTTACCACATGCCACATACAGAGACAGACCACTCCTGTTCTGAACTATTGAAATCTGAACACTGACTCTTACACTTGAGCCATACTTAGAACTAAAATATAATATCTTTTAGAACAAATAATCTGTATTAAATGAGGAAAAAACTTTTAATCAGTTGCTACATATTTTAAACTGCTTCAGGAAACAAAAGTGGATTATCCCTCTGTCTATAATACTGACCAAAATCTGATAATGTACAAATAGTTTCCTTTTTAATAACAATGTCCTGTTTGTTTTTCATAACCATTTGTTTAAATACATTTTTTGTTGTATTTTACTCCTAAAACAAGCTACGAGGAAGATTTCTATCTCTTTCCGCTTCCTTAATTTAATGGGTAAAAAACTCTACTAATGCAATCAAAAAGTTGTAAAAGCAAAATAAAGGTCAGGAATGCAAGTTAAAATTCTTTCAGCAATGTTAATAGTCTATGTTTTGCATATATAGTACTTCCCATTTCATGAGTGTTTCTTGATAAATATACACTTAGTATACATCAAATGTACAGTTGTCCATATTTGGGGATTTTTTTGCTTTATGTTATGTTTCAGCATCACATAATACTGTACAGTATTTTCTAAATTTTAATTTTGTTCTGTTATTTGAAGTGTAGTTAAATGTTCTAATGAAAATAAATGTAATTTTATGAAAAATTATAGTGTCTTGAGTTACATAAACTCAAGACTACAAAAATTTAAGAAAAACTGTTGTATCTTTAAATGAGTCTCATTAAATATCTTTTCTTCTAACAGAAACATTTCTTCATAAATGAAGATGCAGACTCCTCAATAGCAGAGCACATGCAGGTTTTAATGAATAAACTCTTGGAACGAGACTCTAAAATTCAATATTTAGAAGCAGAATTACAAGAATATCAAGAACATGAATGTGTAAAAATGGTAGGTTTTTTTAAAATGTTACTTGATTACATCACTTCTTGTAGTATTGTCCTTATAAGGGTAAACGAAGTTTGACAGGAACATGGAAAGATGTTAGAAAATTCAAAGCTATCCTTGCATTCAGAGTGCTAGAATCTTAGCTAGTATAAATCAGTGTATGTCAATGTCCATGTGTATCTGAAGCTACACCATTTGATACCAGCTGAGGATTTAGCCAAAAATTGACAATTATACCCTATTCTTTTCTGTGTAGCCTTTTTAAAACTGTAATGCAAGTTTGTCAATTTTGCTTGTTTATTCTAAATGTTAATTCACCCAAGAGAGAAATTAACCTACCTTTTGTGAGTACCTACTCTTCCTCTAACTTGTCTGCTTGGTCTGATGGTCCTGTTAAGTAACAGCAACCGAAATAGACTCTGTTTCACAATTATAACAATTATTAAAACCAACTCTTCAGTAATGCAAGTCTGACATTAAACTTGAGGTGCATCCTTTGAATTTGTATTCATTAACTTCTGTATTAAAAATAAATAAATAGTGTAATCATTATTTGGGAAAAGTCATCAGAAGAAAAGGAAAGCCATTTTCAGCATTAAAATGTATTTATTGCAAATGTAAATTAACTAGTTACAATTGTTAAGGAACAATTGTACTATGTTGAAAACTACAAAAAAGACCACTAAGAAATTACAATATTTATAATGTAATCGTAAATTCCAGTCAGGAGTGGGACTTTCATTTTGCTAGGCCTTGTACAACAAGATAGGAAAACATGGTTTTTGTTCAATAGATCTTGTAAAAGATGAACAACATACAACGGGTAGAGTGGGTGAAGAAACAGAACATTTGTGTAGGACCTTGGCAGGCATATTTGTGCCTTTTTTACTCAAATAGTGAAGTGTTAT